ATATATATATATAAAGATTTCAAGATAAAAAAATTTATCTGATATGTGAGTATATCAATGGACGGATATTACGCATAAGAGCGAATTAGTTTAAAAGAATCGAACACAAAGTAGTTAGATTGAGAAAGACGAGAATATCAACACACACACGCCTATTTTTTACCAAACTTTTAAAAAAGTCTATCTAAAAATATATTTCTTAAAAATTATAATTGGACAGATTGAAATTATAGTTAAATATGAAAAAGATTTTTTAAAAGATAAATCTCGCGCTCTTGTTTAGTTTAACAGTAATAAAAACCTTGTGCAGAAACTTTCTGCCAAATACGATTTAATATTATATATATCCGCTTCGTGGGAGACTGTGATGAGACTGAGGATTCGGTTGCATTTGCATTACCAGATTGCGAGATTCTTTACGCAATTTGTAACCAGTCCGCGCATCTAGATATAGAAAGAACGCAGCAAATATATGCAACATGAACGATACGACCGCGAGACCATACGACCACGACAAATGATTGTAATTTGGATACATTAACCAGTCTCGACGCCAGCATTGTCCACCGAATATGGCTACTGCCAAGAAGAGAAGCACACCTGAAATGAAAGAACATTCAAATTAATATTCTCAAAATAAGGATTTTTCTTTCAATTTTAAAGTTAAAGCTTACTTACCGGCAATTGCATCGCATATGAAAGCGACAGACGACAGAATCCATTCGTAATGCAGGACAAATCTCAATGGCCAACGTATCCAGATCAGGCTTATCACAAAGAAAGCAAAGAAAGAAAGTAATAAAGCCAGTGTGACAAACGCTTGCACAATCATGAGCCACACTGGCAGCAGCCACTCTCTTATAACATAATATTCTTGTGAAAAGATGTGATGGCAGCCGTCGAATTGCTTGTCAAACTGGTAATAAGGATAACGGAATTGTTCAAAGCAATATTCCCAGAGTCCCATGTGCTTAAAACTGCTGAATGTCTCCTCATATGATTCTATCCAATACGGACTGAAAATTATTGGAAAGATCAATAATACTGCTTTGCAATTTTACATGCGCAACAAGAAATAATTGTAACAAGAGACAGCTTGAAAATTGTTATTTCATTTCCAGAAAGAAAAATAATTGCATTTACCTTATAAAAGCCATCATTAAGAGGAATAATGATACAAAGGTGAGTCCTCCGCCGAAAACAACGGCGTCTATTAACGAAAGCAAAAGCACACAATTAGTACAGAATATTCTAAATTGATGCTTCATCAATTTAAGCTTAATCAATTACTCACTAGAAGCCCTGTGATACTCTTGTTTATCCACCGTCATGATCTCTCGGTCTCTTGACTCGCGGACAGAGACGTGAAGTCGATCGATTCAAATTATTTGGTCATTGACAATTATTGTTTTCGTTTCGTTGCTCCTCTTTCGTATAGAAACACTTGCCACACCTTGCATTGCGCCATTGCTGCCAACTTTACTACATGACTTAGTGCATCTTATCAACAAATGGTAATATAGTCGCCTCAAAATTATGTGTGTGAATTATTCTATATATTTTTTATACAGAATTTTTATATACACAAATTTGCAATCTCACATCAAGATATATAATTTAATCGAATTCAAGTTATACAGATTAAGGTTTGTAGGATATGCATAAAATAAAGAATTGAATTTTGAATTAGAAATTTTATTTGATAAAGGACGGAGTATAAAATTTGTTTGAATATTTCTGATTGATTTCGTTATTTAAAAAGCCTAGATTTCATCAGATACGTATTCGCGTTAGACAATGTAAATTTACATTATGCGATACATTTTGTGCATAAAGCTTAACGATAATATAAATATATATAAAAACAATATACAGGATGTTTTATAAGTGGCCTGGAAATTTAATTAAAAATTAAGTAATAATAATGACTGCGCAATATTTACAGAATGGATGAACAATTTTTTTAAATATAATCTATAATCGGTTAAATTTTAAATATTTATATTTCACTAAGAAATTGTCACTTGGAGTAAAAAAAAATTGCACAGAAACTGTTTTTTTATATTATTCAGTTTTTCAAAAGTTTTTTTCTGTTATAGTGTTTTAAGGCGCGAGTTACATAAAACATCCTATATACATATATATATTAACGATAACACTATCATACAATACTATCATCCTATATATGTAATATAAAGGTAGATATAAAATATCATACAAAAATATTAAACTTACGTATTCTATCCTAAACTTAAATTAAAATGTAAATTTGCTTTTGTACATTCTACAGAAAGAGATTCTTCTACGAAGGTTTTGCACTTTGTGGACGGAATGATATTAGAATTTTAGTATAACATTTATGCGCAGTTCTCATGAACACATTATTGAACAATTGTCAAGTCATTCATTTAAGCGAGATTCGAGTTGAAACCGCGTTTGAGATTCTTTCAGATAATCTCGTTTCTTTCGTTGTACATTCGCCTCTACCAAAAATAAGCCGCTCGCTATTAACATCAGTACGCTACCTATGACGCCTAGAGCGAAGGACCATCCTAAATAATTATTAAAGTGTCCAGGCATCCAGCTGTCTGCGTTACCAAGGCAAGCGAATACAATGACTGCTATGCCACCGCTGAGACCACTGGCTAGTAGCAAATAACCAATAGTACTTATCAGCTCAATATATCTCTTCCGTTCTGGATCGCAGCACAGAGTAAAGAGTAATATCAGACAGAAGGATATTAGACCCAGCAGAAAGCATACCGTAAAGAAGACTTGAGTGGCTATCATAAATGCTGTAACAAAAAAAATTTCAATATTGTTAACATACTTCAATTCAATGACTTAATGTACGTGCACTATCATTCTTTCTAACAACAAGTTCCTTGATGATTTTGAAGAACAAATTTTGCGCACAATGTTAATAAGTGATTATCATTGATTACAAATTTGTCTAATTGTTTTTTAGACGTTTCCCTCCATCTTTCTTTGAGAAGAAAAAAGTTAAAAACTTTCAACTTGCAATTAAAAGGAATGACATGGTGTCTTTGGATAAGTCCGGCTGCGTCTTGAAGATACTTACGAGGCAATAGGAAGCCACGAATGTCGGAGTAGCCAGCGGTAAACGGATCATAGACCCATCTGCAGCCGACGAAGAATCGTCGGGGCGCGTCGGACTCCTGGGGATTCGGCAGCGACCTGAAGCAGTGTCGCCAGAGACCGAGTCGGTCGAACTGTGCGCCGATGATCCGCGGATCGCTGACCAACCAGGAGGGCGTGCCAAAGGCGACGCACACGCATACGAAGGCCACCAGGAACACGCCGACGCCGACGTTGCCGGACAGGCTCCTCTTCTTCATGTCGCCGCTCCCTATGTGTTCCTGTCTCCTGCGTGGGAATCGCCAATTACCAACGAAACGCCCGCCCGACGACTGGACGCGCAAGACTATAGTCTTCTCATGGAACGCTATCCCACCTGACAATCCCACGGCACTAATAAACCACACCCAGGCACCCTGTGTTATTGGCGGAGCGAGCGGTGGAACCTAACCGAACCTGTAAGGTCTCACCTCGAACCACGCGCGAGTATCCCACGAGTAGAGAGAGCGTAAACGTGACGAATCGAATATGTGTGTGCGTATATACAGGATCGTCTAGAGCAGGTGACAATGGAAGAAAAAAGACAATTCTCTCCTGCTTCTCCCCGCCCCTCAGCGCCCCTCAGCGGATAGAACTTCCTTGATGGTACAATGAGACGTAGAATGGGAAAAGAAAGCGTTCATTCTTAAGGAATGCATAAACAAGTTCTTGGGTGGAGATTCTTTTTAAAATTCATGATCTCTAGCGATTTGTGCCGGTCTCCTACGTCGGCCTTATACGCTCCTGATCTATCAAGGCACATGTGTCACATCTATGTGTCACATCTTATTTACGTACGTGTTTCTCTATCCTTACGATCGCAATCGAACCTTGGTCCTGTAGGACGTAAGCGAACCGCGAATAAATGCGTTTCTCAATCTAAATCATCGCGCCAAGAGGCGCGATTTTTTTTCTTCTAGAAAAACATGACTCCCGTACTCTTTAATTATACATTCGTTACATTTTTTTCTCATTTTTTTCCTCGCGTATAAAGTATTCATTCAGATAGGAAATACTACGTCCTGTAATTGATCGCATGAAAATTACAGTTGTACGACACGAATCATCGCTGAATGAGATTCCTCGAAGGAACCGGATGTGTCACTTATAATCGTTATACAATGAAATCTCGATGCGCGATTTGATGATGACGCATTCGCGGATTGCGACGACTAATATATAATTGCGGAAAATTCAACGCGGTCGATTAAAATAGAATTTAAATTAGGCCAACGACTTGCGGATATACTTTTCGATATATCGCGTGCACGCGAGAGATCCGTATCTCATAATTAACAATGAACACGAATTCATGAGAACAAAGTGGGTCACTATGTGTATGTATAAAGGGGGGTATGTTTAATTGATTTAATTCGCATTCGAGAATTATTACATGCAATTTAAATATCCAAGTGACAAGACGGTAGGGATTAGAAAAAATTGTTTTATTTATTTCTATAAATATAGTATACAAATAAGACAGATTTATTCTTTATAACATTCACATAATCTATTAAACTTATGTACATGTACAAAAATTAGTCCCTACAAATATTTTCTGAATAATACGAATTATATATAATGGACGGATTATTTCAGATATGTCTCGTATAACGTCTCACATATATAAAAGCATTTAAAAGGCTTTTTTTTTTTTTTTTTTAAAACGTTTCTTATACAACTTTAACGTAATGATAATATCAGAATAGCTCAATATATTCTACGTAGTCTATTTTTTTGTATATGTAAAATATGTATATATCTTATATATGCGATATATCTGCAAATTCAATATGTCAAGTTATGAAGTACAGATATAACAATATAATATTATATGAGTCTTTAAAGATTAATTTGTATTTGTATTTAACATGGCAAAAAAAATATTGTTATATGTGTTAAATTAATTAGTTTGTGAATATGTGCTAAATGGTTGTGTGTGTTTTCTGTTCTTCGTTCAATATTCGCTCCTGCTTTTTTCTGTGCCTGCGACCTTCAATTAGGAATAGAATACCAGCTGCTATGAGAGTAAAGCTGCCCACAACAGCTAAGGCATAAGACCAACCTATGTCATTGTGCTCCCAATTGGGCATCCAGTCTCGTCCGTCGCCTCTGGCGCCAAATATAATCACTGCTATAACACCGCACACTCCAGCTAAAGATAAATTACCACCTGTTGTCCACAGAAGAAGCTGGTACTTGTCATGATGACGAGAGCAACAGGTGTACATAATTGTCAGAAAACTCCCTATCAGCAATAGAGTCAGGCATAGCGTGAAGAAGAACTGCGTAGCGACGAAGAAATCAGGCAAGAGTATATCGTGTATGATATAATATTCTTCCTCGAAGACCCACCAGCAGCCATAGAATCTGGTGTCGTAAAGATGACGTGGATCCTGGAAGCCTTGGAAACACACTTGCCACAGACCTGCAAAGATCGACATAGTTTTTTGATCTTCTATTTTGATACCAGCTACGATGTTTCATCTTTTTGAAGACCAACATCATCAGAAATAGATAAATGATTTATTTTGTTCTGGACACCATAATTTTCTTTTTGTATAACTTTTGTACAACCACATCTAATTTCTTTATATCAATGTTAATTATAACAATTATTTTATTCATAGATTTCTACAGATATACATATATATCTAAAATCTTGCATATAATCTTACCAATTTTAACAAATTGCGGATTATTTAGTTTGCCATCAGTTTCCAGCCAATTGGGTGTGGTGAACGCGATCACCACTAGAATGAACGCCACTGCCGTGCACACGGCGGCGGCCTTACCCGTCCTCGTCTTCCCCATCACTTACAATCGTCACTCACGATGATACTTATATTAAAGACTGAATAAGCGAAAAAAATATAATTTCTCGCGATCACCAAATGCAACGTGTTGTTGTCACTCGTCCACTTGGGACGCTGAATCGTCCAACTTTTTCTTATTTAGCTAAGTGCACGAACGCTAGAGTGCGTTGTATGTCCCACACCGTTCCCCTTCAAATTTCGAGTTTTTTTTTTTAATTTTGCCTTGAAACTTTCTTTTATGCTAATTCAAAATATTAACGTAAAAAAGTTAAAATATTTTTTTCAATTTTCTCTCATCGTGGAATCAGTATATATATATATATTTTTTAAAAATAAAAAACTGACTCGAAAATTTAATGCAAGAACAAAAGATTTAAATAATTTTTTTTTTTTTTATTACAGTCTGGTACGAGCCTACGGATATTCAAACGGCAGTAAAAATATTCGAAGCTGGACCGCAATGGAAAAATGTATTACATTTTATCTCACCCAATCAGAACGAGTTGAAAGTCATAAGCAAATACTTTAATATTCCTGTTCCTGAAAACATGGATCTGGTGGCTGTGAAAAATATAGCTGAACAATTGCTTGAATATATTCCAATTGTTATAACTACTTTAGGACCGCAAGGAGTATTGGTTTGTGTTGATTCTCAAACATTTTGTAAATGAACAAATTATCTAATTAAAGATATTTCAACAAATTTATCAACTATTTATTTTATAGGTGACACGCAAAGCTTTGCAAGACAAGCCTTTTTACAACAAGAGTGGAGAACTTATTACCAATTCTTCAATTGCATCTCGATTGTATCCTGCTATAGATGGTACAGAAAAATCGAGTGAAATTGTCAGTGTAAGCGGCTGTGGAGATTGCCTTACAGCTGGAATAATTTATGGAATTCATAAGAATCTAGATGAAATCAATTGCATTTCTGTAGCTTTAAAAGCTGCTGCACTTTCATTAAGATCTTTCGACACAGTTCCAAGGACACTCACAATGCTCTCTAATAGTAATGAATCTTAATTGATAAATTTCTTTTTATAATCATAAATTTGTAATTAAACTATTGCCATAAATTAGCATTTAGGATTTTAATCTGTATTTTTATACTTGCTACTATGTAAGTAAGATTCTACTGTATTTTTATACTTGCTGCTATACAAATAAGATTCTACTGCTACTATAGTATAAATTGCTGTTTTATATTAATTAGATGCGTAACGAATTTAAACAAGATGTTTATAAAATCAATATGGATATCTATCTGTCGTCACGCCATTAAATATGTTTTTATTGATAGTCACCGCTTAATCAATATGATTAATAATTTATTTTCTACAATTGTGAAAAACATCCGAATCAATTACAAATGTAAAATAAACACGCAAGGTGTTTAAAATAAAACAGGCGACGCCGTATTCACAAAAGAGCTACAATGTATACACCGTGACGCGACGAGTCGATCGAAAGAAGGGGGAGGGGGAAAAAAAAGTAGGTCCGTTGTGCACCTTCTACACCTTGCACATGTATAACGATAATGAACGTGGCGCGTGGCAGTAGCGAGAGGAAGAGAAACAGCAAGAGAGTGCACGTAGCCGCAGATATTAGACGCGAGTAGAGGGTTTGAAATAGTGGTGGGGGACCAATGACGTTATGTTGGGCGCAATCACGTGGCACGCTCTATATCGTTGCGTTTGACTCGACGAAGATGGCGCTACACGCGTGAGCGAGAGAAACGAAGACAGGTGATTAGAATGAGCGAGATAGGTTAGATTCGACGAGATATATATATATAGTAAAAGGGAGAGAGAACGACGGAGAGTGGGAGGGAGAAACGGCGAGGAAGAGAGAGCGAGAGGGAGAGAGAGAGAGAAAGACAGAGACGGACGGTGGCTTCAAGGAGAGGAGAGGGGACACGTACACACATAACCACACCAAGGCACAGAGCAGCACTCTAAACCGCACACTCTCGCCAAATGCCACATACGTATTAGTTACACACACACACACACACGGGCGTACGAAACGAAAGAGAGAGAGATATATATAGAGAGAGAGAGAGAGAGGGAGAAACGGACCAAGCGAGCGCCGTTACGATAAAAGAGAAGTTTTTCAGAGAGCGTATTCGGGGAGCCGTTCAATGGTCGCGGCAGCTATGCGCCACGCCGCTGCCGCCGTCGTCGTCGTCGCCGTCATTGTCGTCGTCGTAGGGCATCCAACTAGCTAGTTCCGACCGGCCAGCACGACGGGAGTCGTGTTTCGGTATCCGCCAGTTGATAAACGAGCACGCTACGACGCGCGCGCGCGCCTCGGTCTCGGTCGTCGTCGTCGTCGTCGTCCGCCGCCGTCGTCGTCGCCGTTGTTTCCCCGAAGATGACCATAATAGTCTTTTTGATCGACACGTCGGCCTCCATGAATCAGAGGGCATATTTGGGCGGACGGCCCACGCTCTTGGACGTAGCCAAGAGCGCCGTGGAGACTTTCGTGAAGGTACGCTCCGAGTGCGGACAGCTTTTACGCGCCGCGCCGCGTCGCCGTCTTCGTCGCCCTCGTCGTCGTGATCGTGCTATATAGAGGGTGGGAGAGAGAGAGAGAGAGAGAGAAAAAGACAGAGAGAGAGAAGGAAAGGTCGTATGTTGATCTCTCTCTCTCTCTCTCTCTTTCTCTCTCGTTTGTCAGGCACGTAGCCTTCTCGGCGACGAGGGCGAGACGCGGACCGTACGACGTTTTATTGTACCCTGGTGCGTGAAGAACGCGTGTGTAAAGTGAAAATCCTGTTCCAGGTACGACAGAGATCGCCGGAGAGCCGCGGGGATCGTTACATGCTCCTGACCTCCGAAGAGCCACCTCAGAACATCAAGGTAAATTTTTCCTCTCTTCTCTTTCCATCCTTGTCTTTTTCTCCTTTCGTTCTCTACGCGCGTTTTCACCTTTCCTATTTTTTATCTACATATAATTTTCTATTCGTCGCTCTGTTGTCGGTAACACGGCCTATCGCGTGAGGATGCTCCCCGGGAAGCGTTCGCGTTCTCCCTTCCCTCCTCTCTCTCTCTCTCTCTCTCTCTCTCTGTCTCTGTCTCTGTCCCTCTCGAGTCGCGGGACTCGTCCCGAGTTGGGTTAGGTTCGATTAATGGCGCCGAATAATTAATACGCGGCAGGCACGGGCGGGCAACGGAGTTCGCTCGTCAGCTGCGGAAGACGCGCATCATTGGAGACGCAATGGCTGGAAAGAAAAGCGAAATTCGAAAGCGAAGAATACCTCTGGCGCCCTCCCATCCCGCGAACTTCGCACGCCAATTTGAAGAAATTCAAATGCGACACATTCCGTTCATTTCGATCCTTATTTTGCAATTTCGTCTCTTTCCATTCTTCTAAATCTTATTTTTTAAGACGAGCCTTTGTATCAAAATATCGTATGAAAATGTACAAGATGAATCATTAGAAAAATGGAGTACATTTAATTATCTCTCTGAATTTAAAGATTCAAGAAAAAGATAAAATATAATTTAAATAGTTTTTAACAACCAGTGTGTTGAATATTTCTTTCAAGTTATCAAGATTATTGATATTTCTTATTTAAGGTATTCTTAAGATAGATTTACTTAATCTAAATTTGTCAGAGGAATATATATTTAAAATCATTTAAATTTTTGTTTTAATCATTTTTTATACAAGAGAGATAGTTGTGAGATGATTCTCTCATCCTTTATATTTTATTATTCATCTTTATTTTATGAACAATAATGCATAGACAAAAATCTTGTTGGGGTTTTAGAGATTAATTTAAGAAAACTTTGTGTAATATTTTTGGTAATATTATTGGAATCATGTTCTTTTCCTCTCAGGCAGGATGGAAGGAAAACTTGGCAACTTTTATGAATGAACTTAAGAATTTACAATGCATCGGCTTAACAACATTAGGTGCTGCTTTGAAGCATGCCTTGGATGTATTGAATATAAATCGCATGCAAACCGGCATAGATACATACGGCCAAGGAAGATGTCCATTTTACTTAGAACCATCTGTTATAGTTATTATAACAGATGGAGGAAAGTACACATCCAACGGTGTACCCCCAGTGCACCAAGACGTAAGTGTAATTTTTTGCTACAATCTTTGTGTGTACTATTATATCAAATAAATGTGTGATTATTTTATTATATGAAAATAAATTGACCTTTTTACAGTTTACATTACCCATGCATTCTCCAATACCCGGATCTGAATTAACCAAGGAACCATTCAGATGGGACCAAAGATTGTTTTCTTTAGTGTTACGTTTATCAGGAACACCAGCCGTCGAACGAGATATAGGCTTGGTGGCGAGTGATGCGTCACCGATTGATGCAATGTGCGAAGTAACTGGAGGTAAAGAAGATGCAATTTAAGAAATCTTATCTTGAATTCTCTATAACATACTGCTTTGTCAATTTAATTGAACAAAAAATGCGATAAATTGACTAAACTGTTTTAAAAAATTCATTAATATCTCTGCTTTATATAAAAGAATAACAGAATTTTAAAAAATACAACAAGATTTATCAGTTATTAATAGAATCATATCCATTCTGAACAGAATAACAAGCAATAACTCAAATTTTTTTATAATTGCAATTCAATTCATGATGTAAAGATAAGATTGAGATAAAAATTCTACACTTAATTAATTGTATGTCATGTATTATTAATATTTCAACACTTGTCGCAGGTCGTTCGTATTGCATCACGTCATTCCGAATGATGATACAGTGCATAGATTCGCTTGTGCAAAAAGTTCAATCAGGCGTGGTGATAAATTTCGAGAAAATCGGTCCTGATCCCCCGCCGTTGACTAACGACGCGCCACATCAGGATGAAGAGGAGAATGAAGACGATGGTAACGCGGGACCGCGCGCTCAATATCCAAATGCGCTAGCGCCAGGCAATACGGCTTGGTATTCCTGTAGACGTTTGATTTATGTACCACGATCGGCGCAGAAAGGTTTCGCAGTCGGATTCTGGCCGATTCCCGAGAGCTTTTGGCCGGATCTTAACGCCAGCTCGTTGCCGCCGAGATCGGCGCATCCAAATGTAAAATTCACATGTACCAGCCAGGAACCGATGGTAATCGAGAATCTACCATTCGACAAATACGAGTTGGAACCGAGTCCTCTAACTCAATACATCCTGGCGCGGAAGCAACCGACGACATGCTGGCAAGTGTTTGTGGCCAATTCGTATAAATCGAGCGAAGTTGGCCATCCATTCGGATACTTGAAAGCGAGTACAAACTTAACTTGCGTAAATCTCTTCGTTATGCCTTATAATTATCCTGTGCTGTTACCCCTGTTGGAGGAGCTCTTTAAGGTGCACAGGCAAAAACCGACTCCCGAATGGAGAGCGCAGTTTCAGAGTTACGTGAGGACCATGCCTACTTATTATGCCGTTGTAAGTTTTATTATATATATATATATATATTCTTATATAATTATATATTATTTTATTTTAATTCATTTTCATCAAAACATTTCTCTCTATTACAGTCGTTAAGGAGAGCTTTAACTAGAATGGGTGCATCCGCGCCTCTAGCACAAACATTGTTACCGGATACTATGGATACTTCTTTATCATATAGCGTTTTAACTTATTTGAAGCGACTCAAAAATTTGGCGAAGCTAGAATTCGATCGACTTTGCAGCGAAGTCATTTCTAAGCAGGTCGCCGTTTCGAATCTTACGAAAAATTTATCCAACTGTACCACGAGTGCGGTGACGGAAGGAGTGAGAGTAATACCGAGAACACCACTGAAGAAAGATCTGGTAAGATTTAATACATTAAGAAAAATCGCTCAGATATTCCACAATTTATAGTTTAATTGTGTATAAAAAAAATGTATGCTTTGTGTAGGTGTCCCATCCTTTATTACAAGACAAATTCACGGGTCTCCGCGATCAACTGAACGAGTTTGGAGGTTTTGTAGTCGGATTAGTGAAGAATCAGCAGCAGCAACGTGGCGCGCACAGTTACAGGAATGTTGACGTTCCGAGAAAGTCTCTACTCGATCAAGTCATGAGGATGCGCGCGAATTTTTTACAGCCTGGTTTACTGCACACGAAATTGCTCGATGACGACTACGTTCACTCGATGCCTTTAGCCCAAATGGGAAATTATCAAGAATATTTAAAACGTATGACTCCACCGTTGAGGGAAATCGAGAGTGTGCCAGTGAGACAACATATGTTTGGTAATTATTTAATAAATCTTGCGAGTATAACTTTTCTGTGGCGTATAACGGAGAAACAATTTGTGCTGTATAAATTATCTATGTATGTGTGTGTTGTGTGTGTATATGTGTGTACAGTATATAAATTATAAATTCATTGTGCCATATATTTGTGTTATATCTCAATCATAGGCAACCCGTTCAAGATAGACAAGAGAATGATGGTAGACGAGGCGGATATTGATATAGTCGGCGCGACATCCTCTACATCGAAAAGCGGTCTCAAACGCACTCTACCACAATCGGATGGCCCGTCTTCCCCGAGACCGCCGCCTAACAAGAGAAAGCCTGGGCCCATACCGAAAGATGTGATAGTACGACGGCCATCATACTCATCGCCTAGCAACACTCCACCGAGTTCACCGATTCCGTGGGTGATGGAGGATGCGAAGAATCAAGCGACGGCGGTAACAGTTGCCGATACGAGTACTCCACCGACTTTGACCAGTCTGCCCAATGTATCACCGTGTCACGTGTCATCGGTACCGTGTTCGAGCGCCTCAGAAAAGTTGGTAAACGGACTCGCGGAAATGCCGCCAGCCATACCGGTATTCGAACCAATTCCGGTGGAGCATGTTAACAATCATATGGACACGCCGCCAGTTCTGACGCCAATAGTTAACAATATCGACACGATATCAATGTCAAAGGGTGAAGTTAAAAGTGAACGGACAGATAACGTGAGGAATGAGTGCCGATTACCCGTTAACGATTGTATCGAAAATAGTGCGCGAGTTGTTGATAGTGGTATAGAGGAGAGACTGTCTAATCACGTGGAGGAGAAGCGAGAGTTGAAGCCTGAGAAAGAGAAAAAGTTAACAAAAAAGGAGTTGGAGGACATCAGGCGGCACAATTTGAATATTCGGGAACTCGTTTACAAGGAAGTGCGGAGAAGAGGAACAAGTAAGTCTTTGAGATTAATCAATCTTCTTTGATATATTGAAAAATGAAATTAACATAAAAAGATTGACAAATTTATTTATCACTAACTATATCTTCGTAATGATATTAACAAGTAATCGATTTATTTCATTTCAGATTACGCAACGCTGTTTTCACATCTACACCAAATTCAGGGAACCCTAGATATTCGGCTTGCATTTGTGAAAGACATAGTGAAGGAATCATTACGCTTTAAACGACGTAATCTAGCGTCGCTATTAGAGGAGTATCTTAAAACTATTCAAGAGGACGGTTGCGCTATAAATTATAAGTTGAATCACAATGGTGCCACGAAGATAAGTTGTTAAGATATATGCGTAATTAGGGCATTATCTTAATAATAGTGGAGGAAGTAGATTGTGAAAGAACTCTTGTGGGAATTTTTGTCAGAGGTTTTAGTAGCGGTCTTGAACTTTCGGAAATAAGGACTACTTTTGATACTCACTGGAAAGACCTGCACAATCTCGAAGTCTTAGCAAATTTCAATAGCATTCTCAGTGTCAACCACTAAGTAAGCCATGGCACTTTTACGATTTACTTTTAAGCTTTGCGAGTGATCAGTTGGTAGAAATTTCGAGTGTGTTTTATAATAGGGGGCATGGTTATAAATTAAAGCAATAATTTATTCACAGAATGTAACGACAAAAACGATTTTATGGAGCAATATTCTCTCATGTATACTCTTAATATTTCTCGAATAATATTTCTCTAATGATCTTGTTTTAAAACTTGACCATTTTAAATCTTACTCTGTAAAGAAATTCAAAATTTTATGTATCTCGGATGCTTGAAAATATTGTATCATACAATCGCGCGTAACGTAATATATATACGTATAGACTATATTCATACAATATATGTTGAAGTTTTTATCCTTTATACGAGTATATGCACGCGTTTCTATATCGTTACATGTAAATACGTTTACACATTTTGTTTCATCGTTTATTATAATGTATTTTTTCTCGGAATTTTGCCGATATCTCACTTGGCACATTTATTACAAATATGTCTTGCATGCTGGCATACAAGACAATAGTTGCATATATGTGAGACGAAATTATAAGAAAAATACAATATTGATTCTTTGTAAATGCGAGTCTGCACATATAAAGTTTATTTGAAGTACAAGTGCAATCAAACGAGCATAATTCTACCAGCTGCCCAGTCCTCAGCACTTATGTCAAATTTAGGACAAAATAATTGTATTAACGCGTATTACTCTTATAATTATATTTCCTATTATATTTAATCTATCTATATACACATCATACACACACATTTGTGATCTACATTATTAAGTTTAATAAAATGCCATAGTTTAACACTATACCAAATTTGTCTGTAAATTTTGTTGTGTACTTTGTTAATATTATAAAAGTAAATTAAGATCTGACTTTTTATTGATGACACATATGCAACAGGACATTATTTGCAAGAATTGCACTTGTTCATGATTTTTCTTTATATATAAAAGATGAGAACATATCTTTTGTTATACAAAAGAAAGAAATTGTAGAGACCTTCATTCCACTGTGAGAAAATTTATTATGCGTTTTATTATATAATTAATAGAATTAGAATATTAAAAAAAAAAATAGAAATTTTTTGCTTTGTTGCAGTGGATTTTTCTTCTTTCATGATACGATATTAGCTTTTATAATGCGAGACCTGTCGCAAATAGACTTATACCAAATAACATTTAAATGAGGCATTAAATGCAAACTTGAATTTATTGTGAAATCTTCTACGAAGGGTTGACAGTGCCTGATGCTATTTGAAATTGACATAATGTATTTATATTCAACCCACTATGTCTCCAAAGCGTTTAATAATATTTTTTTGCATATAATTATATATATATAAACTTAAAAAAACATCTTTAATTTAAAATATATGTATTGTGTATCAGGAATAATAAGAATTATAAATTATGAATTTCTCTACTATTGTATGCAAGTTGCCTATTATATTATACAGATTCTGTATAATATAACAGACATTTACACAAGATAATATATTTTCCGTTTTTGTCTCTAATGGAAAATAATGTAGTATCATAGTGTTGTAACATTGTGGCTAATCTCCAATGCTTCTTGTATAACATATTTAATTTCTGAGAGGGAGAGAGAGAGAGAGATGTGTGTATGTGTGAGAAAAATAAAAATGTAATAAATTAGTGTAAGAAACATTGGCAAGTAGCCATATTGTTACAACATCGTGATACCATTTCAAAATGAGAATTTCATTCTAATTCTGTATAAATTCAAACAAATGTGTAGTATAACAGAATCAAAACTGCAATATATGTCTGAAATAACAAACATAGAGCAAAATAAATTGTATGTTTTATCCTCAAATTCTTATGTGTATGTGCAACATGCAGCAGCAATTTGAAGCAATATTATTCTTTAAAAAAGAAATTACTTTGATGATACACATGTGGGTTGAAGGAATGCATGTTAATAGCGATAACTTTCTCATTTGTATCACCACTAGTTATAAATGTCAAAATTACTTAATGATTTGTCAAAAATAATTCGACCAAATATTACATAGGTTAATAACACAAGCTAGGATGATTATCTTACTTACCATCTACCTGTGATTTTTATATTATAGCTTATATATGTCATGGAATATTATTAAGTATCATTATCATCATCAATACTTTACTACCTTACTTTTTCATAAAAGAAGAACATCTAAAGTGAAAATTAGGACAAATTTAAAGACATATCATCATACATGAATAAATTATTGTAGAGATTTTTAATTTGTACATAGTCTTTAAAAACTCTATACCATTGTTATGAAAAAAATAATAGTGTTCTTTTTTTTTCATAAATGTTTTGAGACTTTTATTAATATTTTAAGTGAGATAATCAACCATATGTTTTCTTGTAAACTTGATAATGTCCAATACTCTTTAGAAAGAGATGCAGACAAAATTGTATTTATTAGTTGAAAATATGTTGAATATCTCGTATATAAATTATTTTATAATAATGGAGCTTAGCTGAGTCACACAAAGACAATGACGCTAGACGCTTATTTGCTCCAAAAAGAAATTAGTAGAAAATTATTGAATACAATTATTGATATGACACTAAGTGCGATTGTATGTAAAAGGGATTATGGATAATTAGAAAAAATGTGTGGAAGAATTCCAAGTACCTCGATTACAACCTCTTTTATTACAGCACAGCTATACTTTATTACTATATTAAGATTATTTATTATTGTATTATACAAAGTGTGTGAAATAGATGAATAATTTTTTTTTATAAACTTAATTAGGAACTGTAGAAAATAACATGGTATACAAATGTTCTACCAAAGCAAGATTGTGTTTCTGCACACTTTTACAACTGCTTTATAAACTGTAACATTTATGTAGAATTCACTGTCCCAAATATTTCCACAAAAGCAACTGGAACATGATCCCAAATAATTGAGTTTGTCAAAAGCTCAGTTTATGAAGTGTCTATTGTAAGCTTTGTCAGTAGAAAAATAACAAAATTATACATATCACGGATGTATAATTTTGTACAAATGCAAGAATTCGTGCAATTATGTCAATAAAACATAAGCTTAATGTAGACGTAACTCATGCTAATCTGTTACGATGGGCCGATAGAAACTGTGTTGCCAAATTACTGAAAATTGTTTATTATCTAGAATTTTTCATAATCAGATGAAAATAGAATTGAATTGCATGATTTCTTATTAGAACGTATAAAAATGCAGAATTGATAAAAGAGGTAAAAGGAAAAAAGAAATATAAACTCATTCTTTTAAATCAGATATCGGCCATTCTAATTTTATACAATAGTATAAAGATGGTAATAAGAACTGTATTATATACGTCTCTTTTTATGTATTATTCAGGATGTTACTAAATGTTAATTACTATTTTTTCACAATAGTGATAGTGATATTTGCATTGTTGTATATACGAAATTGTACATAAGACGCGTGTATTAGTATATATGTAATTATTATTATAGAAATTCATATTGAAACGACTGTCCTGTTTTTACGTTTATATTTTAGGTAAAACGATAAATAAGCCTCTTGAAATGAATAAACAAATTGACAGAAACATCTGTCGTATATTTTTTTCGCCGAAAGTACGATATTTCTTTCTCGAAATTATGTGTAATTTAGTTACCGAATATTGTGTGGAATATAGATACCCTGTGCCCTCGTGCAATGATTTTCCTAACCTATATTGAGTTACGTACTCATTTGCCAAAGTTGAACGAATTGACAGATTGACACGAGTAGAGATTAACGCGTATTAAAAACAAATATTCGTAATTAATACATTAATATTTGAGTATTTATCAAATATATATAATGTAATATATATTATATAATAATATCGGCATTTTCGCTTAAATCTTTTTAAATTTTTATTCAAAAAATTTTTTTTTAGAATCAAATTTCAACGCGACCTGGATATGTCGAGGGGGATACATTATGGAAACTGCGCCAGAAAGTACTTCATGTTACAAAAACACACAAATTCCCATTGTCTTCGGATGCGACGCGGGATTTATGGAACTTCTGCGTTCTCACATGAATCGGCGATTGATACAAATGCGAATAAAGAAGCTTTCGTAAAGCAAGGACCGATAAGGAATATCAAAGATGGACCTTCTTTGAGGGATTTTTTAGAACCGTCTATTATCGATATTCCTAATGAAGAACCTGTTCCGTACGTGCAGGATATTCGTGGTGAAAATCAAAAAGGTTTTTCACATTTTTATTATAAAATTTTCTATTAATCATTTTTGTCTATTGCAAAATTATTATTGTTATTTTTTTTTGTTTGTTAGTGTACTTTGAAATTTACGGTTGTCAAATGAATGTAAATGATACTGATATAATATGGTCGATACTGAAATCTCACGGCTACAAACATACGCAAAGTATAGATGATGCGGATATTGTATTGCTCATTACCTGTTCCATTAGAGATAATGCTGAGCAAAAGGTATGGAGCAAGTTGGAGATATTGAACAGCATAAGAAACAAGAAAAGGAGAATGTCTATGTCATCTATGAAGATTGGACTCCTAGGTAAGTTTTTTATTAATATATAATTCAATTGAGATGGAGAACTTTTATAAATGCTCTGTTCTGAATAAAAACAAATTTTTATATCAGGATGTATGGCCGAACGCTTAAAGACTAAGATATTAGAGAAGGGTAAGCTTGTAGATGTGATAGCAGGCCCTGACAGTTACAAGGATTTACCAAGACTTCTAGCAGTAACAGATAATGAAACAGCTGTTAATGTTGTATTATCATTTGATGAGACATATGCGGATGTCGCACCAGTTAGACTCAACCAAGACTCTGTCGGAGCATATGTGTAATGTATATATATGATATATTTAAAAAAATATTTTATAAAATATAATATACATATATATATGTATGAGTGTTTTCATTATATCTTCAATGGGTTTTCGCTTATTAATTTTATGACCTCTATAATCTACTATACTACATTTATATCATATTTGTGATTTGCAGTTCTATAATGAGAGGTTGTGATAACATGTGCACTTACTGTATCGTCCCATTTACAAGAGGAAGAGAAAGATCCCGGCCGGTTGCAAGCATAGTTGACGAAGTTCGACAGTTATCGGATCAAGGTGTAAAAGAAATAACCCTCCTTGGTCAAAATGTAAATAGTTACAGAGATTTGTCACAATCGGAATTTGTTATACCCGCTGATACAGAGACTCATCTCGTTAAAGGCTTTAAAACAGTTTATAAGAACAAAAAGGGTGGTTTAAGATTCAGTGATCTTCTAGACAAAGTCTCTTTGATTAACCCGGAAATAAGAATAAGGTATCTTTATATTAGAGAGAGGAGACATCAATTATTTTAATATATATTTGTGTACTAACAATATAATAATTTCTAGATTTACATCGCCTCATCCCAAGGATTTTCCCGACGAGGTGTTGCACTTGATAGCCGAAAGACCGAATATCTGTAAGCAGATTCACTTACCCGCTCAGAGCGGCAATTCCACGGTTTTAGACAGAATGCGAAGAGGATACACCAGGGAAGCATATTTAGACTTGGTGTATCATGTACGTAATATCCTGCCAAATATATACTTATCCAGCGATTTCATCGCCGGGTTTTGCGGTGAGACCGAAGAAGAGTTTCAAGATACGTTATCATTAATGGACGAAGTGAAATATAACAACGCCTATTTATTCGCCTACAGTATGCGCGAGGTATGGTCTTCATACTATACGTCACTCGGACAATTAAAGTCAAAGAAATTTAACAAAATATAACAGAAAATCGTTTTTTTACAGAAAACTACGGCACATCGACGATATAAAGATGACGTTGAATCGCATATAAAAATGGAGCGCTTGAATCGCATGATTAAGTTATACAGAAAGGAAGTAGAAAAATTAAACAAAGCACAAATAGGGCAGCATCAACTCGTTCTTGTAGAAGGTGTAAGTATTTCATCAATTTGATTATTATGTACATACTGAGAAATATAATAGCATCTCTGTTCTCTTTCTCTATTTCCTTTTCCTCTCTTTTTCTCCATAAATTCTTTTAATTTTATATTTTATAAAGATATTAAACTTATGTTTTAAACTTTTTTTTTTAAATATATTGGCTATTGGTAAATATAATTATCATTTTTTTTTGCAAAAATACTTAATTGTGCGTAAAAATAATAACTTTTTATGTATTTTTTATTGATAGCCAAGCAAGAAATCTAATGAATACTTACAAGGTAGAAACGATGGCAATGTAAGGGTTATATTACCATCTACAGTTACTCGAATTAATCAACATTCAGCCACAACAAGGAAGATACAACCTGGTGATTACGTTGTTGTACGAATCGACAGTGCCAACTCTCAGACTTTACAAGGGATACCTTTGTATTGTTCTTCTATTATTGAATATTCATTAGACAGAGATAATAATTATGTTACATTTAATCAGTAGGAATTATAACATCTACAAATTACATAAGTGAGTTTTCTTTCAATTTATATCCATTGATAATCAATTATTTTTAAATATACATTTATTCCCGATTAGATAGATATTTTATTTTCAAATATTTTATAATATTTTGTAAAATAGATGATTTATTAACACAGTTGCGTAGCATCGATTGCTAATAAGTTAAAATTCTTCTTTATCACATGATTTTAACGTTAATGTTATCAAGTTTGATAGCTAGATGGCGGAAAATTATAACCACAATCTTGCGCATGCGTACAGTGAATATATGATCATTCAAGTTCAGGTTATGAATTAAAGTGAAATAAAGTGTTGTTTAGTTGTTTACGCTAGATTTGTTATCGATGCTCTGATTGTGCGAACGATTGCAAATTCTGTTTTGCAGAATCCTACTCGGGGCGATCCTTTTATATAAATGGCATGTAGATTGAGCGTTACAACTGCTAATCTTTCTTTAAGATATGTGATATTAAGTTTGAAGATTAATTGTTTTCTGTTTGGAATGATCCTTTAACATAGTAGCACGCAGCAATTATGAAAATAACAATAATAATAAGTCATTGATAATAAATAATAATTATTATTATTAGAGCAAGCTGGGTTCATAGCCTGTTCTCGTCGCGTTTCTTTCTATCTTCGTGCGTATATTTATCGTCGTAGAAAGAAACGCGGAAGTGCTGTTGTAAGCCTATTACGCTCTTCAAAATTATTATCTTGACTGACATATATGTTCCAAAATTTATTAGGCTTCCAACGACGGTATTCCACCATCTGCCGCCGTACCAGGATTCTCATCGACAACGCCAAATATTGCATCTAGCTTTGTGCCACCCATTATGCCTACGGCACCCTTCATTCCTCCTCCCAGTCTACCGCCAGGTCCTCCGGGTATAATGCCGCCTCAGTTTTCTATACCTCCGCCAGGTTTTACTTTTCCCATCACCGCTGCACCTTCTCCAGAGGCTGGAGTCATAGGTTAATATCCATTGCTAAATACCCACGTCGATACGATAAATCTATCATGTATGTAAGTTTTTTTTTCTTTTGTACAGCCGCATCGCCGCAGATAACAGCACCAGGGATTCCTCCTCCTTCACCTATCGCCAACGACGCTACCAGTTCGACGATGTCCGTCTCCACGTCAGAGAAGAAGACCGATTGGAGCGAACATAAAGCACCGGATGGCAGAACGTATTACTATAATAGTATTACGAAACAATCATTGTGGGAGAAACCGGATGAATTGAAGACCCCAAATGAATTGTTGTTGTCGCAGTGTCCTTGGAAGGAATATAAATCGGAGAACGGCAAAATATATTATCACAACGTAACAACCAAGGAGTCCAGATGGACGATACCGCCGGAACTGGAAGAGCTGAAAAATCGAATCCTGGCCGAGGAAGCTGCAGCGGTCGCCGCGGCCGCTGTAGCAAACGCCACAAATTCGTGAGTAAAATTAATTTATGATATATAAAAATTTGTTTATTTTAATGTTTTCTATATTTATCACGATTTTTCTGTATTTTCAGCAATATAGTTCCTGTAGCCATGCAACACTTATCACCAAATATCACGACTATATCACAGACTAGTACGCCAGAACCAGGTGGAAAGTCTGCCATCGAGCAAGCGATGGCCGCAACCCTCGCGGCGATTAATATCCCGACGCCACCTACAAAGCCGGACGAGGATAGCAATTCCGCGATGGGCTCGGCTAATGACAGTCGTACCAGCACCCCCGAGCCAAAGATGCAATTTAAAGATAAAAAGGAAGCAATTGAGGCGTTTAAAGAATTATTAAAGGAAAGGGACGTTCCGTCGAATGCTACGTGGGAGCAGGCGGTTAAATTGATTCAGAATGATCCTAGATATCCACAGATGAAGAAATTGAATGAACGTAAACAGGTTTTCAATTCGTACAAGACGCAAAAGTTAAAGGAAGA